TATTGTATAAAAGTATTCCTTATAATTTCTACGATGAATCCAGTGAGTCACTGCGAATTTGAAAAATATTGGAATGATGCAAACAAATGATGCAACAAACGCGAACTTTTGAATGTAGTCGTAACTTAAATTGTCTCTTTGCTTCAAGAGAAACAGACATATTGATGCAATAGTTGTACTTGTGACTCTTTTTGTGCGATCTNCTCCCACCATTTGTGATAAAACACGTACAGAAGTTCTTGGCGCATTTTCCATTATTTGTTGGACATTTTCTTTTAATTCTTCAGTCCGCTTTTTAGGTCGGCCGCTTCCTTCTTTTCTTGTTACACTGCCCGTTTCACGAAAAACATTAACACAACGCTGAACTGCACTTTGAAAAATTTTGTACTCAACAACGCCGGGAAATTGATTTTGAAATTCTATGAAACATTCCTCAATAGAATACTTCCATATTCCATCAATCTTGCGTCCATTTCTAAAGTAGGACTCTATGATAAACACTTTTTGTTCTTGAGAAAACACCACTTTCAACGCTTTTTAAAACGAAAATATTCAAATTGATAGCGGCGATATAGCGCTTTGACAGATGACGTTTAAGTTCATTTGCTATACGCTACGCCCTACGTCCAAATTTTCAGAACCAACTTGACCACGTTTTTATTTGAACGCTCGTTATAACACCTCTTTTTAAATTTATTCAGTTTTTTAGCATAAGGGGTAAAAAATAAGACGCGCACATCAAGCATACATAACTTTTCATCTGCAGGGTGAAATAAGCTTAATTTCAAATTTTCATAAAAAAAGAATCTATTACCCTATCGCTAAGCTCGGCAAAATAACCCATTCTTGAAAGCAAAAGTACCATTCCTGGTTTTAGATAAAAAAATAACTGGTCTATTCTGTACGAAGCATGGTTTGTGTTTTGTGTAATTCTGTTTAATGTGTCGAAAATTCAAAAAGACACTTTTGTTAACTGGTCGAACGAAAAAGACCCTTTTCATAAAACTGTACTTATTAATTTAATTAGATAAATTGCTTAAAAAATATAATTATGTTTGTATTTTCGTCGCGAATTTGAAACTTAAAGATGTACAAGAATTTCTTTACAAAGAATAATTGTTTAACACAAATTCATTTTTAATTATAACGAGCCTCTAGAAACTGCGAACAAAAGTGTTAAAGAAGTATTCAAAAAATAATGATAGTAGATCCCACATGACATTTTCCCGAAAAAATCGATATTACTGACGTCAATAACCTTGAAAGTTATTTTCCAATCAACTATGTTCAAACTTTGAACACTTATTATTGAAGTCGATAAAATAAAACCCAAATGACAGAAGCTAATGATGCTCTTTGTGAGAAAAAAGTTGAATGATAATTAGTTGCATTAAATTTAAACATTTTTGTAATTTTGAAAATGTTTCGGACCTTGCCCAGATCTAGGGATCTACACATTTATCAGACTTCACATCCACCTCAAACCAGATCCGCCATGATCTATAATTGATCCAGAGTCCCTGAAGTTTTCAATTAATATCTTCAGTTGAAGTTAAATCACTATTTCGACCATATTTTGTTCGAAAATTGCGAACTTTCATTATTTTTAAAGAATTGTTCCACTATGAAAACGCGTTGTTCTCTCGTGTAGCGGTCCAATTTTAATGATATTTGTGTTACGCGGACAGAAAAATCGTTCGAGTCGCTTGAAGTTTGCACCTGTGGCCCTGACGAACCGCTAAAATACTCGTATGTTGATATTAATGTTAATATAACGGGTTTTCCAACAAATGTTTCCGAATTGTAACCCGAACCTCCTCAATTTTGGTAGAAACAACACAATTCAAGGTTCGCAATTGGTAACCTCGAAAAGTGATGTTTGAAAGAGATTGTTTAAATAAAATTTACGCAAATAGAGTCCAATGGAAATAATTTGACACTTTTTTTGCTTTTTAAAGCATCAGGCAACCCTTATATCAATTTTTAAAGTTCTGACTTGGATATAAAAACGTTGTTGAGCCGAACCAAGTAGGCCCTAATGTGTCACTATGTAAATAAATAAAATAAGTCAAAAAAAATAGAAATAACGTCTTGTCAAGTTGTGTATGTATCATTCATCCAACAAATATACAAATATTAAAAAAGATACAGTCCACTTATTCATCAACCACAAATCAAACGTATCGTTTTAATTTTTTAAACAAGCGCATTGAAGGTAAACCTTATTACCTTACAGATAATTGTTAATATCCCGTCCAACTTGACCGTTTGCGAGTGCCCTTCCTCGCAATTGCTATCGGAAGTTACACAACTCACTCTCATTAGATTAATGACTATACATCAATATACAGGGTGTGCGCACGGTGACGGCCCATTAGAATTATTTCAGAGACTACTTCGATTTGAATTTTGAAAATTTGGATTCCGGGTTTTCGGGCATGCCCTTCTCAACTAAAACAATGGCGTCCAGGTACCAGTTCCGGTTATTCCGGAAGTCGCATATATCTATCTATCTATCTATCTATCTATCTATCTATCTATCTATCTATCTATCTATCTATCTATCTATCTATCTATCTATCTATCTATCTATCTATCTATCTATCTATCTATCTATCTATCTATCTATCTATCTATCTATCTATCTATCTATCTATCTATCTATCTATCTATCTATCTATCTATCTATCTATCTATCTATCTATCTATCTATCTATCTATCTATCTATCTATCTATCTATCTATCTATCTATCTATCTATCTATCTATCTATCTATCTATCTATCTATCTATCTATCTATCTATCTATCTATCTATCTATCTATCTATCTATCTATCTATCTATCTATCTATCTATCTATCTATCTATCTATCTATCTATCTATCTATCTATCTATCTATCTATCTATCTATCTATCTATCTATCTATCTATCTATCTATCTATCTATCTATCTATCTATCTATCTATCTATCTATCTATCTATCTATCTATCTATCTATCTATCTATCTATCTATCTATCTATCTATCTATCTATCTATCTATCTATCTATCTATCTATCTATCTATCTATCTATCTATCTATCTATCTATCTATCTATCTATCTATCTATCTATCTATCTATCTATCTATCTATCTATCTATCTATCTATCTATCTATCTATCTATCTATCTATCTATCTATCTATCTATCTATCTATCTATCTATCTATCTATCTATCTATCTATCTATCTATCTATCTATCTATCTATCTATCTATCTATCTATCTATCTATCTATCTATCTATCTATCTATCTATCTATCTATCTATCTATCTATCTATCTATCTATCTATCTATCTATCTATCTATCTATCTATCTATCTATCTATCTATCTATCTATCTATCTATCTATCTATCTATCTATCTATCTATCTATCTATCTATCTATCTATCTATCTATCTATCTATCTATCTATCTATCTATCTATCTATCTATCTATCTATCTATCTATCTATCTATCTATCTATCTATCTATCTATCTATCTATCTATCTATCTATCTATCTATCTATCTATCTATCTATCTATCTATCTATCTATCTATCTATCTATCTATCTATCTATCTATCTATCTATCTATCTATCTATCTATCTATCTATCTATCTATCTATCTATCTATCTATCTATCTATCTATCTATCTATCTATCTATCTATCTATCTATCTATCTATCTATCTATCTATCTATCTATCTATCTATCTATCTATCTATCTATCTATCTATCTATCTATCTATCTATCTATCTATCTATCTATCTATCTATCTATCTATCTATCTATCTATCTATCTATCTATCTATCTATCTATCTATCTATCTATCTATCTATCTATCTATCTATCTATCTATCTATCTATCTATCTATCTATCTATCTATCTATCTATCTATCTATCTATCTATCTATCTATCTATCTATCTATCTATCTATCTATCTATCTATCTATCTATCTATCTATCTATCTATCTATCTATCTATCTATCTATCTATCTATCTATCTATCTATCTATCTATCTATCTATCTATCTATCTATCTATCTATCTATCTATCTATCTATCTATCTATCTATCTATCTATCTATCTATCTATCTATCTATCTATCTATCTATCTATCTATCTATCTATCTATCTATCTATCTATCTATCTATCTATCTATCTATCTATCTATCTATCTATCTATCTATCTATCTATCTATCTATCTATCTATCTATCTATCTATCTATCTATCTATCTATCTATCNTCCTACATACCTACATGAAGATACCTGCATGGGGCCTAGGGGCAAAGTCCTAGATGGGGCAAAGCCCTAGGTGGGGGCAAAGCCTTATGTGACATCATTTTGAATTTCCCCGCCAAAAATGCTGCGCTCTGATTGGCTGGCGGGGAAGGGAGGGGGAAGGGAAAAGGTGGAGGAGTGGGGGTAAAATTCGTCAAAAACTGCTAATATGAACCTTCATAAGAAAATACATGGGATTTTGGCGTGATACGCCCATAGCATATCTACTATTATACATTCTGCCTATAAAAAAAATAATAATGACCTGTTTGCGAACATTAATTAAGATAATGCTCGAGCCTTGTGATTCACCGAAAAATCCATTTACACCATTATATTAGAACCTAGTTTAAGTCGACCTTGATACGCAAGACGAGAAATTTGCTCATTCAAATTTCTAATTCTAAGACAAACATTTTCTTATTCGATACTTACCTGTCGGGATAATCTTGACTTCGTCGAATTAACGTGGCAGTTTGTTTCTTACCCTTTTACCATCCCGTCAGATCATACCACGTGTGAAGCAACTAGCAGTAGCGGCGTTTCCGAGACACTACCACTTTGTAACCGAACATCGAAGACTAGCCTCTCCTGCACTTCGTAACCCTTCGGAACGGGAGCGCATTCTGCTTAAATTTAAACTGGTTGAACTATTGACACTTCCATTTCTCTTGCAGGTCTTGTCAGGATGACGGACACCGACCTCGAGCAGTACCCGGACAGGGTTGCCGAGTTGTACAAGGACAAGACGCTGTTCATAACCGGGGGCACCGGGTTCGTGGGTAAGGTCCTCGTGGAGAAGCTGCTGAGGTCCTGCGGCGACCTGAAGAAGATCCTGCTGCTGGTGCGCACCAAGAAGGACAAGAAGCCCCAGGAGAGGATAAGGGAGATCATGAATGGGCCTGTGAGTAGAAACAGTCACTTCTTTTTTGTTTATCGCAGAACTCGTCGGTGAAAAATCCGGTTCGAAGGACCAGGAAATTACCTTTTTCCTCATTAAAATAATTACGTTTTAACTGTTAAGAGAAAATAAAACACGTTAAAATTTCGCAACTGTAAGAGTCCGTGTTACAAATTTTCGGGTGGTTATAAAAAATAAGGAAGTATTAAAACCTGATTAATAATTGACTACAAACGAACAGCTATTTCACAAGGCACGCGTATAATAAGCGGTCTTCGACCATTCCCGTAGAACATTTAAAATAAATTTTACGGTCCCAGTAACTGGGTTTATCTTAGTTATGTAACAAAGTATAGTGAGCACATGAGCGTCTCTGTTGAAACAGTTCAGAGACAAAAATTTTAATGTATTCCTAGAAATTACACGTGGTGGTGAAACCCTCCCGCTTATTCTCCTTCTGGTAAACTCGGTGAAATGCTGTTAGTACCACGTGTGGCGAAATACGCTAATTAGTGATAAATATTTACGCAAACGAAAATAATAGATTGTAAGTAAAAGCTATTAAATGAACTGCACAACTTTGCCTCAGATAGTTTCATAGACCGTGCCAGAAAAACCGCTTTCTAATTTTTCCTCTTTATTGGGTACCTACTTAGTTAAAAAATAATCAAAGCAACTATTGCGCCAAAAGGATATCTGTTTTGGTTTGGGTGAATCGTATATCCACGGAGATTTTTGGCATTTTGGCTTTCAAATATCACTAGAAATGAAAATTTTTCTATGCGCATAAAAAAAACGTGGGCTTAACTTTTGGCGGCACAATATGTTAAAAAAATTCGAAAAATGTCATATTTTTCTTCCTATTTAATTATGTATCTTTTCAAGAGTTGATTTTAGGCGAAAATGGAAGAGGAAAAAAATGTTTGTAATTAAATTTTTTACAAAATATGACTAGTTACAAATCGAATGAATCATGATTATTATTGTAAAAATCGAAAAAATCGCCAAAAATGGGGTTAAAAAACATTACTTTTTAGGAAATTTTTTTGTGGTCTTTAAAATGGGTAAAGGACCTTCATACTTCAAGAATACTTCATGTTCGTTAGATTTTGTATAATAATTTTGTAATCCAGATTTAAAAAAAAAAAATTGCAAATTTTCAAAATTTTGCACAGCAAAAATCAAGGCCCTTAGATACTTGAAAATTATGGCGATGTTTCGCACGGTGCTAGCTATGTCCTGTACACATTTAGTTTTGCCCAACTCACTCGGTTTCAAAAATACAATACCTATGTACGTTTTCAGCCACAAAAATTCGACCAATGTTTAACCAAGCGCCAGAGCTCTCCTAATTGACGGATTCGAATTTTTCAAAAAGTGTTTGAAAGCTTGATGGCCCTTCTATATGTGATTAAATTTTCAAGTATCTAAGGGCCTTGGTTTTTGCTGTGTAAAATTTTGAAAATTTGCAAATTTTTTTTTCAAACGCTGGATTGCAAAATTATTATGGAAAATCTATAAAACCGATTTTAATGAAATTTGGTGTGATGACTCTACATAACATGAAGTTTTCTTGAGCCAAGTATAGAGGTCCTATACCCAATTTAAAGACCCCAAAAAATTCCCTAAAAAGTAAATGTTTTTTAACCCCATTTTTGGCGATTTTTTCGAATTTTACAATAATAATCATGATTCATTCGATTTGTAACTAGTCATATTTTGTAAAAAAATTTTTTGCTTTTCCATTTTTACCTAAAATCCACTCTTGAAAACATACATAATTAAATAGGAAGAAAAATATGACATTTTTGGATTTTTTTTTAACATATTTTGCCGACAAAATTTAAGTCCATGTTTTTTTATGCGCATAGAAAAATGTTCATTTCTAGTAATATTTGAAAGCCAAAAAGCCAAAAATCTCCGTGGATATACGATTCATCTTAATATGGGCTTTTTGAAACAGATGCCGTCTGGTCTAATACCAGACAAAAAAAAATTAGACGTACATGGTGTCTCAAACTCGATAGTATGGGACTACTTTGAGCATACACACAAATTTAAATAAAATTTGGGACACGTGGGATGAGGTAAGCTCCATTTTCAATCGAAAGTTTCTTTGGGATTTGACAGAAACGACTAATGACGTCTTCAATTATATTTTCTCCAGAAACATACCCAATTTTGTTTCCTTTCGCTACGGAAAATGACTACCTCTATTCATCGCTCGGGAAATGTGGTATTTAAATAAACCCTTGCCGCCTTGCCAAAATGGGGTGGTGCACCATCGGGCATAAGCCACATGTTATTTCAAATATTTAAAGAGACGTTTTCCAATAACGGATTAAGGTGTTCTTGCAATAAATTTAGGTATTTATCCCCATTTAAAGCATCGTCAATGATATGTGGTCCCACTAAGTAGTTTCCATGTATAACCATGTATTAATGATAAATTTTTGTTAATGTTTTGTCTGAATAGTAGCATGGGGGTTTTCGTCACTTCAAATAGGCAAATTCTATTCTGTTTGGAAAGCGGTTTAGATCAGGAAAGGAAACATTTTGAAATTTATTAATTACAGGGCGTGGTTTTATTGTTGGAAAGTTTTGGGAATGATAATACAAAAGGCGTCTCATCAAATGGGTCATGAAAAAAGTATAGCGTCATTGTTTTTTTAGGTTTAGTATCAATAGGTCAAAAATTCGTAATTTTTCGTTCTACGCGTTATTATAAAAAAAACTATTAATCTTAGCAAAAAAGTTCAACAGACGATTTGATCTACAGAAACTCATCTTTAAAATGAGACTTTATAAGTTAAAGTTGCTTTATAAACAAAAAAGTTATTGCAAAATTAAACGGAAAAAGTGCTTTTTATTTAATTGTTAATAACTTTTTAAATAATTAATAAAGTCTTACAAACTTTCCCAAAATGTGAGTTATGTCCTTAAGAGATGAGCAAGAGATGGGTTCGATCGGTCAAATAGTTTTTGCAAAATTCCATTTATTTATCCCATTTTTGCAAAAAGGCCCATTTTCAAATGACTATTCCGGGGGCAGGGTTATGACTAAAACATTATTTTTGGGCTCATTTCCTTCGAAGGGACACCAAGTATCCCCTAGTCAAAAATATATTTTTTTTTTCAAAAGTTGTATATAATTGTTACCAAATAGAAGACACTTTTTTCCTAATAAACAAATAAAATAACTCCGCGGTTTTTAGCTTTTGAAAGAAATTATATACACCATTTGAAAGCTCGTAAAAAAACTATAAATTGAAAAAAAAAGTTTCTATGACC